TGTAAGGGGATGTCCAATTGTCTACAGATGGGCTTTGGGTCTTCACTTCACACTCCCCTTCATTCACATTGATATGATTTTTTTTGTTCTCGGTCTTTGATGCCTGATATCTGATCCTATCAACACCTCATGATCACACAGGCTGGGGTGCTTCTTCCATGTGGACTTTGTTGCTTCTCAGCTAGATGGCCACTTGTTTATTTTCAAGCCTGTAAGACCCCAGACACTATATCTTTTGATAGCCAAGCACCATCAGCTTTCTTCACCACATTTGCTTATGAACCAGTTTTTTCTTCAGCAATAATATTGGGAAGGTGAGCCTCACAGAAAGTCAGATTATTAGAACAAAGCGTTCTTGTGTTGAGGGAGTACTTGAGTCAAATTCAAAACCATTTCCTTGGGAGCTAATACAGATATGGCATTCCATAGTTCAATCACACCAAGCAGTATTGTACAATTAATTGCTACCACAATCAGATTTAAAATATTCTCTTCCCTCTTGTTTTCTTTTGCTTTGTGTGAAGAAAGAAGCTAGGAACAGCATTAAAAAGCTGGCGTAGTTCTAGGAATTAGAGGGAAATAGAGGTCAACAAGCGCAACCCTCTTGTTTTAGGATTGAGCAATGAGTCTAAAATGGGAGCAGATGAGTTGCTGAAAATCTCAACTCCTCTCTCCTCACTTCCAGGCTCCTTCCTCTTCCAGGGGTCTTTCAACAGTGCCTGGCATCCTCCATGACACCATTACAGCATCCTTCTGCGAGGAGACTAGGTACTGAGCTCCTCCTGAGCCTTGACAAAGAAGGCACCTGACCCTTTATGAGACAATCATGCCTTCTTCCCCTTTCAGTGTGGGTGTGGGGGTGGATTTACCAATCAAACCCTCTGAATCAAGTTATAACTCTCACTCCAGTTGTTTTCTTCTCTCTACTGCTCTAAATGTAAATTGTCTGGGAGAATTTGTAAGGATTACAAGGGCCAATGCATGTAAGGTGCTGTCACAGAACCCAACAGAATAGGTGCCCAAGGACCTCTGTTTCCTATTTTGCTTAAGTTAGTCCCAGTATTTGTTACATGCTTTGTTTCCTTTAAGCATCTTAACTGGGTGAGACAGAAAGAAGTGGCATAAATGTAGGACAACCTGTTCAACAATCAAAAGAATGGCTTCCCAATCTTGGTACTATTGACAATTTGGTCAAAGCCAACCCTTTCTGGGGGGATGTCCTAAGCTTTGTAGGATGTTTATAAGCATTTTGACTTCCCCTCACTAGACACCAGGGGTACCACTACTACAGTCTCTCCCTCTACTCCACCCTTTTACGTGCATTTTGACACCCCAAAATGTCTCTAGATATTGCCTGGTGGAGGAGAAAATCTATTGAAAAAAAAATCACTATTTTAAAAGTAAAAGTGTTTTCTATGTCTGTATAAACTCAGGTGTGCAAGAAACAAAGCTTCGTTTTTCATTAACTCAAGTTAACTTCTCTGTATTATTAAATCCTGGTCTTCCAACAGGGAGCCCTGGTTCCACAGTGATTAAGCACTCTGCTTAGTGGGAGACAGATGTGACATCCTGTTTCCATAGAGATGGACAGCCTTGGAAACTCTATCAGGCAGTTCTCTTCTGACCTTTATTAAGGTCAGTATGAGGTGGAATTGTTTTTTGTAATGTTTTGTTTTATTTTGATGAGCGGTGGAAAATGAATGGCTCATTTATCCTTTCTGCTTGTGGCAGATTGAAACATCATGTAAGTGCTCATATAATAATCAGGACTTGAGGTTCTGGACTCATTTAGCAGTTATCGAACTCTAAATACAACTACCTATAATGTCATCCTTAAACTATCTCTTGTCACTGCTCACATCGGCCCCTGCAGATCCATGGTCTCTATAGGCTGCAGTATTCTGATGTTTAAACGGCACATGGATCTTTTGGTTGCTTCTAACCCATGCTAGGATCAAAAATTACCCTGGGGATCTATAGGTCCTTCCTAGCATCCCCATGTAGCTATTCTTTCTTTGACCTTTCTTAGTCTAACAGGTTCTACTTGGAGCATAAGATTAGGACCTAAATCTTTGTACCCCCCTAGTTATTTGTCTTTTCTTTCATGCCAGGCCTCATTTCTCTGGACCCCATCGGCATCTTGGGTTTTAGTACCTACCTGCTAACCCTTTCCCCCTTCAGGACCAAGGACCTTCATCTAGCCCCTGAGGACATAATTATTATGATGATTATTGTTATTAGGGGCTGCAGAATTGGTACTAACGAGTAGCAACCCTATGTAAAGCAGAAGGACCGCCACCCATTTGATTCCCTCCATTCCATGCCCCTCCTCTACTTAGCAGAATAGGCATTCATTTTTCTATATGTTTCTATCCAAAGCACTTACCAGAGTCGCTTAAAAAAAACCCAACCATATATGGAGACCCCGTATGTGCTCCACAGGGTTCTAACGAGGGTGAAATTTCAGAGGTAGACCACCAGGCTTTTCTCCTTAGGCAGTTCTTGCTAAACACAAACCTTTTTTAAAAACAAACAAACAGTGTCTTGTGTTTGGGTGAAAGAGAACACTCATTTTCCTTTAAACAATTTGTACATGTTTTGCTTTCAGGCATCAGTTGCAATCTCCAACAGAGGTTACCCTCCACTTCCATTTATCCTATTGTGTCTGTCTATTGTTTGGCTGAGAGGTCTGTCTCTAGTTTCAGGTTTGGTAAGGGTCCAAGGACCATAATTTGGAAGGTTCCAATAGATCAGACCAGTAAGTCTGGCCTTTTTCATAATTTTGAATTTTGATCTACATTTTTCTCTTTCTCTGTCCAACCCCCCCCCCCACCACAGAAAAAGAAAATAAAAAACACCTACCTTATGTTTAACAACTTAGCACATTAAAAGTAGGATTTTATATTGGGATTTGAGATAACAAAAGTCAGAAGCTATTAGGCAACATCTTCTTTTCCCTGCTATCTGTAAATTTCTCTGCTCTCTCTGCCCATCCTTCATCCATAACGTATATATTATTTTAAGGAAAGAACTAAGAAAGCTAAAAGTGCATAAAATAGGGAAGCAAAAATGACAGTCATGCAAGAGCCTCAGTCTTGCTCATCACTGCCAGTAAGTAGGTTACTTGCTGTTAGTTAACAGGAACTCTGCCGTTAAAAGCAGGGCTGTGAGTCAGCTTGAAGGGGTCCAGTCATGGCCAGTGCAATGATTTTGGAACTGCAATTTATGCAATATGCAGGTATTAGGAAAATTACTAGAATTGGAAAAATGATAGTGTGAAACCCTGGATTGAGAGACTTGGAAGAGGCGCAGTGAACCCTTTTAGGAGCCTGACGTAGGAGATTGGTTTACTACCAAGACTGCAGAAAGAACACATTCAAAGTGGTGTAGTCAGCTACCATCTTTGTGCCATCTTTGACTCTGGTGGCAAAGAGGTTGCTATGCAATGCACTTTTTTCTAAGGAGACCGTTTTTCTAGCAGGGTGCCCATACATAATTTTACCTGTTTCAGCTATCATCCAATACACCTATATTTTACAAACTCACGTATGGCTCTGCTTCATCAACCACAACTGAGCCAGGAAGCATCAGTCTGAAGCCCTCGTTCAAAGGACAGGCTGACAGTCTCCCCTACCAGGAAAGGGAAGGCAAGCAGCAAGGACTAGTGTACAGCTGTAGCTCACAAAAGTGATTGGGAAATTGCTTTCATTAACTGAGAAGAAAAGAGAAGTGTAAGAGGAAGAGGACAAAGCTGTCCACAAGCAGAATTACACAAACTCAACCGTGCACGTGAGAACGCCATAGTTGGAAATAGAGCCCGCATCTACTAAATGATTAGATACCTTTTGCAGTTTTTATACTTATATGTGGGTGGATGTTTGGTGTGTGTGTGTGTATATATATTATTGGACAACATAATGTTATTTACATGCACAATTTGTTGAGTTTTTATGGCATAGTACTTAAAGTTAAGCT